ACTTTGTTACTGCAGTAGTTGTTTGTGAAACAGGAGCTGTACTTCAGTTTTGTGCATTAGTTCTTTTACTCTTTTGCCTTTGATAGCCTAGGTGACTGACTGCCACTCAAAACTAAAGCGTTGCATTCTGCTAGGATGATATGCTAACAGTAGCTGTGCAGAAGAATTTCTCAGAGGGCTGAAGGAGTTTTCATAATCTCAGTGATCTGTCTGACATCTGAGTGTTTCCACGGTGCGTATCTACATTCTGCTGGAAACTTCTTTGGTGGATGTTTTTGTTTGAAAAGGCAACTAATTCTGGCTGTTTTCTTTTAATTGTATATGCAGCTCCCTCTGGTCCACATTTAGACCTGAGCAGGTCAGTTCACTTTAAGTAAAGTCTTTGCTGATGTGTCTTTGCTGTGTGCAGTGCAAGAGTTCTGTCTTGCTTCTAAACCAGCTCCTAGCCTGAATTAAAATGCACAGTCAGTGTGGCAACATGGTGTGCTTCACTGCAGTCAGAATCTTTAGAGGAGATAAAGCCATTGTCTCTTATGTTTCTGAAGTAAGTAAGTGTTATTAAAATACATAAGAGCAAGTGTCAGAGAAATGCTGAAATTACTTAGAAATAAGTTCTCAATCAAACAAACTGTACCATTAAAAAGCTTATTTTAAATCAAAACCATAATTCACTTTTAAGTTAATGGTAAACGAGTATTGTATTTTTTCTCATTTTTACTTTCCCAAACTTTGCCAATTTTTTGACTTGATGTTGTCTGTCTTTTCCTTGTATTCCTTGGCAGTGAATTGTTTATTGTATTGTAATCTGATCACGTACACCAGGGCAGAAAAATAGTTGTTATCCCTCTGCTTACATTCTGCCATATTCTGATTGCTGCTAGGTCATAAAGGCTGTATCTGACCTCAGCGGAGGCTGAAAAAGTTTAGTTAGTATTTGCTAGTGAAAACAACCATGCAGAATTCTCATGGCTGTGTCTTAGGGGTTGGTCCAGGGCGAGGTTTAGCTGTGAGTTCACTGCTACCCTGAGGCTGGGGAGGTTCAAGCCCACAGCGGCCAGCTTTCAGCAGGATAGGCTGCTCCACAGCAAGGGAGCAGCACTGTCCACCCATTCATAAGTGGACTGCAGAAGCAATGCTGTTTCCTTCATTGTATCATCATTCCCTATCTAGGAATGGCTAGAGCTTTCTCTAGTCCTGGAAAAGAGGAAGGATGCAGTACTGGTTTGTATGCAGGCGCAGATAAATGTAAATAAATGTTAGAGTAATAAAACAATAAGTAATAAAAATGACTTATGATTGAGGATACTTCACTAACTGAACTTGATTACTTGAAAGGAAAGGAAATTATGATCCTAATGAGATTAAATTTAAAACAGTTGGCTTCAAAGCAGAAGTCAAACTTCTGGAATTTATCATAGACCACAACTTTTCAGGACCTATTCTTCCTTCAGCTGAAACCACAGGCAGAATCCCTGCTGGAAGCCGAAAGAGAGTAAAGAATCTGTGCTGCAGTTGACAGACATACATAACTGGAAAACGCTCTTGCTTAGATTACAAACTATTCAGTCAAGGTTTCTGTTTATTTGGTGTCTATATTTGGGTGACAGCTGATCACAAGCTTTTCAAACACACTCCAGTTCAGTTTCTCAAGAAAATCCTTTGTTTCCTGTCCTAGGTCCAAACCAAAGCCAGTCAGCATGATTTTCTTTGGACTGCTGTTAGTAGGCTGGGGATCTAAAGCCTCCAGCTTCCAGACAGTTTGTTAAAGATACAAGCTGATCTTCTATGACAGAGTTCTCAGGCCTCCAATGGCACTTGCGTGCAACAGAGAAATTTTCTGTGATTTTTGTGGCTTTGCTGCTTACTGGAGCTAACTTACCCACAAGCCTAATGAAAGGAAGGGAAGTGCTGAGCAAACCAGAATCTCTGCATTTAAAAGCAGTGACTGAGAGAGCTTGAGAAGCTGTCCCATTAAAAAGGTGGCCCAAAATCAAGACATCAGAAGTTGTCATCACATACGTTTTCAGAACAGAGGAGATGAAAACAGAGTATTGTGTGGAGCCATACTTCATAGAAGAGAAGGCATATGTGGCAACACTAATATGAAATGCAAATAGCACTGCAAACAGTTATGGGAGAAAATACTATTCTGCTGAAACTACTCCAGTTCTTAAGTTGAAAATCAAAGCAAAGAAAAAAGCCCTCACCTCTTCCCTCTCCCCCAGTTACTTCAGAAGATACAGAGAAGTGTAGTCACTGAGTTTTGATGTAAATGGTTTTTAGCTGGTTGCGTGTTGCTCTTTCTTGGCATTGAATTTGAGAGCCAGAGTAAATTCCTTCAAAGTGATTGTTTTTTCTTAAGAATGTTAAAACAATCTCACTTTTGTTTCTTGTTTTGTTTTCTTGTCTTTTTTTTCTCTTAAGTATTAATAGATTCACCAAAAGTAATAAAGGTCAGCTTCCAAGGATGACCTCATGAGGATGCAGTATGAAAGGTGACAGAAGTGCCTGATAGCATGAAGACTTCTGCAGCATGCTGACTTTCAGTTACTTCCTTTTTTTCCTATATACAACCTCTGTCAGATGAGAGTACTGGCTGGAAAGCATCGCACTGTCAAAAGATGCATCTACAAGAGGCAGTTCATAGTCAGGCAGGATCTAAATGCTTAGAAGGTGTGTGAGGTATAAAATCTGCGGTGTCCTGGTCTAGGAGTGGAATCAGAGATCCTGAGCCAAGGGCTGGGCTGGCAGCTTGGGATAAAAGTGGTTAATGATCTGCACGTTGAGCGGGGAGCTGCTTTGTATGGATACAGTCCATATGCTTCCCTGCTGAAATAGCATGCAGGGAACAATGAGTGGGGGAATGTCTAACATGTCCTCCATGTATGTAACCCCTGGTTTGGGATCTCAGCCTGGGGTTAGAGCTTTCAGCATTTCCTTGAAGGACAGAAGGTTCTGTTGACAGCAGGGGAAGTTCTGTTCTTCTTTCAGATATTTTTACTATGAGTAAAAAACAAGCATACAAAAAAAACCACCCAGAAAATATAAGGAACAGATTAAGTTACTTCCTAGTCTTCTGGTAGTGAAAGATTCCTGTGCTCCTGAGTGTGAGAGCTACAGCCCTTACTAGAAGTTTTTGTGATATTAAAAGCAGTTTCGGTTTCTTGAGGACAGCAAGTGGATGTTTTTTACATTTAGGTTGCTCTGGGCGCTCTGCTGGGAAGGATGATTTTGGATGTATTAACTACTGTGTAATATAAAATTCAGATGCAGTAGGTACCTAAGCCAATAGGCTTATAGTCCTCTACTCTTTTCTGAGCAACAGAATCTTAATTTTTGATGGGCAGCTGTCAAATACAATGCTTTCAGCAGTGGGGTTGCCAGTCTGAGGCCATTCACAGTAATGAGCATTCCCAGTACTCGTTGGGGAAAAAGGGCAGATAAGTTTTCATCCTATGGTCTCATACCCTACCATGTCTAGTACCTGATCTGTAGGTTGGTAGCCCTGCCTGTGGTAGGGGGGCTTGGAAATTGATGATCCTTGGGGGTCCCTTCCAACACAAGCTGTTCTATGATTCTGTGATTATTTTCAGCAGAGAACAGAGTTGTTCTCTAGCAGGCCACATTCCTGAATGACAGTCCTAATACCTGCAGGAGTGTTCCCAAATAGAGTTTGTAAGAGTGATGGTGGCTGCAATTCTGTTTTACTGCTTGGTCCAGCAGCATGAGGCTGAACTCTCATGCTGTGGCTTTACTTTCCCTCTCACCCAAAAGAAAGCTCAAATCCATGTCTGTTACTCTGTACCATGCTGTTACTCCTCCAAAACGACCTACTCACAGCACAGTTCACATCCTTTCCACCCTGTCTCTGTATCTCACTAGCTCTCAGTCCTTTTTGCTGTGTCTCGCAGGCCTTATTTCCAGATCAAAGTTGTTCTTACAAATACTTGCTTCTGTATAAACTTACATATTTAAAGAAGTATTCTCTGTACCTGCTATTTCTTACCTTAGTGTAATTGGGCTCTGTGAGAGTACAAATAGCGTCATCACCACTCTGGTAAAATGGAAATATATGGGCAGTTTAGTGCTGCGATTTCTGGAAATCCAGACCTTCTTTTTCCTCTAAGAAGGAATGACATCAGTAAAGCTGCCATCTTTGCAACAGTAGAAGTAAATTGGGAGGAAAAATGTGATTGTGCTGGCCAGTTTGCATGATTTATATTCAGATCATTCAACTAGCACCATATTTAATATAAACAACTACTAAAAATCTGGTACTGACTGATCCAAATTTAAAAAACAGCAACAATAAAACCCCAAAATAATCCGTGTAAGAAATATCCTTGGTGTCTGAGGATGATTTAGGATTTTTTTTTCCTTTTTCACCCCCAGGGGGGATTTAAAATAATTTAGACAGGAAATGTGACATACAACTTATTCAAGCTGTACTACATGAGGTTCATCGTAAAAAGACTTTTATATTACAGGATACTGAAATATCTGTAGTCCCAGTTCTTTGCATTACATATATTTCTATAAAAATTTAAGCTAAATGACTTAAACTTTTTCACAAAGTTGATATAAATTTATACAGCAGTAGCTGAATACTCTCTTCTATAAACACATAACAACATTAAGGATAACAATTAATAGAAAAATACATGGCATCCTTGCCATTCACGTTTAGTGTAATATATAGCCAGTCATAAGTTATATAAAAATACACAACAAAAGCCTGATGAATATAATCCCTTCAGTGCCACTCCATACCTAAAAATTTAACAATCAATAGCCCTCCAAAAAAGAAGAAGAAAGAAGGAAAAAAAAAAAGGAAATTCTGCATTGATGGGAAAAGTGCTGGTTTGTTTTCTTTGTTGTATTTTACTTGCAAAAACCTTTATTTTCTAAAGAATGCTTGAAGTCTGTTATTCACTCCTGGCATCTGGAAGAACTCAGGAAGCCATTTCATAATTTTAACCATATGAATATAGGTATAAAAATGTAAATATATTTCTAAATTCATAATAAAATAAAGGCCATTTTTCAGGAAGACTGTTCTTTCATCTTTAGAGAAACACATCTCCAAAAACGTTTTTACTAGCATTAGGAACTTGTTATTCTGTGAGCTACCCCATCCCACTTGCATCTACTCTCTTCTTTTCTAACCATGTAATCCTATATAAACCAGTTATGTTTCAAGGATTGAAAACACTCAGCTTGAAATCCAAAAGTATCTCATTCCCCAGTGTATGTTCTAATTCAATCCCTTTGCCCAAGGTTCCCATCTGAAACTTTGTAGCCAATAATAATTTCTTGAAATCAAGAGAGTATAAGATATTAGGGAAAATCCAGGTAAGCAGATATATGAGGAATATCCCAGTTGACTTCAGTGGTGTAGGAAATGGTAATATTTAGGAGTCAAGACCTACAAAGAGAACTGCTGTGCTGTAAATGCGGCTCAATGCTTCTGTGCCAGAAGATGTCATAGAACCATGCTGTTCTATGGTGTAAATAAATGCCTTTTGGTGTAAATTTTGCCAACCAGATGGCAATATCGTTCTCCATACCAAGATGGCTGATTGGCATGGTGGGGATGGGTTAGGGTTGGACTTGGTGATCTCAGAGGCCATTTCCGACCTTAATGACACCGTAAATCATTATGATTATATCTTACGTAGAGAAACATCTGCCATATATCTTTTTAAGCTGCCTGGCACTCATGGGTATTGCACAACTGAAGCACTGAAAATACTTAGCACTACAAAAAGAACTCCTTGAAAAGATACAGAATCATAAGTTATGGAAGGTTCACAGAAGATATTATTGTGTATTTAAAATTATATTATTTTTAACTTGCAAGAAGGCACCTAGGAAGTGACAGCAAAAATATCAGAACTCTATAATTTCTGCTGCTGATAACTGATAGCCGTAAGTGCACAATATGCATAGCTTCAAAACTCAGGCTACTATAAATGTACTGGAAGTAATAATAGCTGTTGGGCAAATTCAGCTTTCCCATATCGAGTACAACTTCTAACAAGCTCACAAGACTCTCAACTGACTACAGAAAGTAGCCCTTCTCCAACCCTTACATGATGATATTATATGTAATAAAATCTGTGTATTTAAGAGGGACCATTCCAGTCTCACAATTTTTAGTTTCAGAAACTATCCAACAGCGGATTTGTGTTATTGCTTAGAGTCCAAAAAATCTTTACAGATGCCTCGAATAACATCAGGGACCATCTGCTCCAATCCAGTGAACTCCCTAGTGAAGAAAGTGTGAGATTCCCTTGGTTCAGAAGCCATGTCTTTCAGATCATCCAGAGGAGCCCAGGCAACACCGACAGAGAAGACCGTTATTCCTAAAATGTAAGAGTATAGCAAAGAGAGAAAATACATAAAATCATTTTGTCTTTGCTGCAAGAAAAATGAGAAATTTCTACATACATTAAATAATCTAGAGCAGAAAATAGTGCTTCAGTATCTGTAGTCTGTCAAAGATTATTAGATTTTTGCCACTAAATATCAGAAATTAAGTACTTGTCTAAGTAAGAACCCTGATAGAAATACTAGTATATCTTACTAGTAAGCATCATAGATGTTTTTCGGTGATCCATACAAACATAGCAGTGACACAGCAATTCTTGTGTTTCAAGACTTACTATTTAGAATAATTTTGAAAATACGTTTGGATCCTTCACGTACGTAATGCTTAGTGTTTTCAAGCATCAGAAGCCCAAGAGGCTTTTTGGTCAAAATTACTTTTTTTTTTTTTTTCCCCATATATGATGGAGAACAAAAATAATGCTATATTAGATGCTATCACTGGTTGGAGCTCTACTACATGGCTCTTTATTTTTCATCTACTAATTTCTCTCTTATTTAGAAAGAAAATACTGCTTTTTTTTTTTTTTTAATTTTAAACGAAGTTGCCATGAGTGAGTCTACTTACACCTGGCTTGATAATCCCACTTATCATCCTAATGGAAAACAGTTCCTCAGAGCTCCTGTTCTGCTACACTTAAGACGAAGTATGATACTTTATTTGCTCTCTCAAGCATCATTTAAAATTTAAAATCTTGACATGGACAATACAGCAGAAATGGGATGAATCAACTCCCACTGCCTATGAAGGTCATTTACCTGCTTTTTGTGCAGCAACAGCAGGTCCTCTAACATCATCGTAAGATTGACCGTCAGTCAGAATTACGAGGAAATTTTTGTTTGCTCCATCCTTCACTGGCCCAAATACGTTTCTGGTTGTGAAAGAAATGGCATCACCAGTAGCAGTGCCACCGCTCATGTAACGGATGTTCCGGATAGCAGAGAGGACCTTTTCCTTTGTGGTGTAGTCTGTGAAGCTGAACTCAGTACGCTGATCATATGTGAACTGCACAGTTGCAATCTTGGAACCAATGTCAGAGATCTCAAAAGCCTTTGCAACGTTGCTGATGAATTCAAGCATGAGTCGGAAGTTGCTCTCTCCAACACTGCTAGAACCGTCTATCAAGAAGCCTATGTTGACAGAATTATAGCATGTCTTGCTACACAACATTTGCTCATGTGAACACAGTTTTTGGACAAGAGGTTTTACATATTTGGTGGTGCCAAACCAGCTGGGCATTTGGTAAGAGAAGAAGCCATTGTTGCGACAGACAGCCTATTTGAAAACAAGAAGTCAAAAGGCAAATACCAAAATAGGTTCTGTAGACAGTAAACAGACAATCAAGCTTGCCCCCAGCTCCCGTCGGAAATTTCAGAAAATTTCATTTTATTACTGAGAACTTTAAAAACTTGAAATTTTAATTATGTTCTTGGGAAGTGAACTAAGCTCTGGCTGCTAACTATCCAAAGGAGTGGAAGTTTTGCCTTTTTCCTTACCCACTGAAAATTAGGTTTCTGTATTTTCCATTTTAACATCATAATCTTAAACAAACAAACAAACAAACACCTCTATAACACATCATAAGTACAGACACATTTGAGTAGAAATATATGAAATACGTGCCCAGGTTATTTTGAAGTAAAATTTGTTTTTCCTGTGGTTTCTATAGTATACATGTCAAGTGCAAGGCAGTTGAGAAGGGGATTACATTTAAAATCAGCTCTCCAAATGTAATAATAATATTATGTTATAATAAGTAGTCTTGCTCAAATCAAAATGCAGAAGGCAAGGGGACAAGCCTCTGTCACACAAGGTCATTCTGTTCTGTGTCTGTAAGTCCACACAAGTTGGACCTGTCTGGGATCAGAAGCAAACTGTCTTGTGCATGGAAGCTGCAGAACCAGAGTGCTTTGTTTGTTCATGTTACGTTATGAACTTTCTGCTGAAATAAAATATTTAAGACCTCCCTATGAAACATGAAGTAGTGAATTAGTGCTTAGAAAGCTCTTGTGAGAACTGAGTTTGAGTTCTGTTGTTGACTCCCACAGAGCAAGATTGAAAACTGTTCATCCAAGATGAATGTCTTGCATACAAACTTGGTAGGATGCATTTGTCCATCTTTTCTGCCCTTGTTGTAGCCAAAGTAACAGAACAATTCCTCAGATCCCATACTGAAAGATAGGTCTCCCTGTCATTTCAAGATAGGAGATATATCTGTACTCTTTGCTTCAACAAGTTTAGTTATGGTTGAGATAGGAGAATCCCTTGCTGTGAAAATCTTCGTGCAGTGCAAAGTCCAAGAGCTACAGCTTTGCCAAGGCTCTGAACTGGGAGGATGGCAACAGCATTTTGGTACCTTTGTGCAGCCCCTTTAGCAAGATAATAACCCAGCAGTTGCATGTGATTTAGTAAGAAGAAACTAATAGGCTTATTCAAATCTCTACTATCGATGACTTTAGGCTTCCTAGTGATTTCTTAGGATTTTTTCCTCTTGTATTATTTGGAAGAATATCTTTTATTAAGGTGTAAGACTTAGCTCATTAGAACTCCAACATGAAGTACACTATCTAGTCATACCCATGAATGAAAAATGAATAATTATATTCTCTTACTTTGTCAATAAAACCGATGTCTTGTACCATTCCCAGTTCCTCTGTTGTGGGTTTTGCTACAGACACAATGAACACATTGACTCCAAATTCTCTGGCCACTATACCAGCTTCTTCTAAATCATCTGAGGGCCAGCCATCTAGAAACACTACAATGATTTTGGGTATTCCTTTGCGTGCTCCATTTTCCATAGAGAAGAATTTCTGAGCTGCGTGTTTCAGAGCTTTCCCTAGTTTTGAACAGAAAAAGAATGTGAAGAAATAATACAGTAACATTTTGGTACCAGTTTTGTAGATAAAACTATGCTTTTATGATTTTAAATTATGACTACAGGTGTAACTCAGCAAACCAAGGAAACAGCATCTCAGAGTATTTGAGTAATTACGAAGCTTGAGTAATCTATTGCCTATTTAAAATAAAAAGTTAAAGCAAATTTCCTCCCTACAGATCCTGTTTTATGCTAAGCAGATATATTAGCTTCCGGAACAAAGTTGAGAAGCTACTTAAATTTAGCTTGTGAAATACAACATATCTGGAAAGCTTAGCTTCCTTGTTTGGCAAATATCCCTTCACAGCCACTTACTGCTTAATTACCCACTGCCATTCAATAGGAAAGAAATGTGAAGCCTTTTAGACAAGAATTTGTCTCACGACACCATTCTGTTAGAAGTGAGGAGCCGATTACTGTTTAAACACATATTTGCACTAATAAAACATACAGTAAGCAATCTGAATGTCTGAAAATGGAATTGAAAATGGAGCACTTAAAATACTTTCTTAAATATGTATAGATAGAAATATGTTTCACTTATGTACAGTAATAACATCAGTTTTCACTGAGGTACGAACTCACCTGTGTTGGAATTGCCTCCTCTGAACCCTAATTCCTTTATGGCAAACAAAACCTCTTTTGCAGCGGTGAAGTTTTTCAGATAGAATTCAATTTTTGGATGCTCACTGCAGAAAAATAAAACATTAATGAACAATGTAGTCAACTTTTCATACCTCTGTGGTATTAGCAAGCTAAATTTGAGTTTGAATAATTTTGTTCTTGTTCATGTATAGTAATTAAAAATGTAGAGAATAATCCTTACATAGTAATGTACTGAATCTGTAGCCAGAGAAATTATTTATCAGAGGGGACAAATGAAGAACACACATTCCTTAAGCTTATTGAGTGGCAGAAAATACTAGGTTTAAAATGTATACAAAAAAAAGCTTGATCATGCCAGTGTTAAACCAAATGCATTTGCGTATTTGAAACTGACACAACAAGAGGCAGAAGATGATCAGGTTTGTTATGTCTTCATATGGACATCTCTCAGTGTAGCACAACAAACAATGCTCCAAGCTGAGTTTATCTTCTCTTACTTTCTTTTGCCATTATTGAACAAATACTGTTCTGCAAAACATACATTACTTGACTTCTCTGAATTGTCTTTTGGTTATATTTTGTATAGGTCTGCTATTACCTGGCTTGTACAACTCCAACATGAGGCCCTTCCGTTCCAATTCCCAACATTACCGCTACTTTTCCAACAAAGTTTTTCTGCAGATTAAATCTACGTTGGCCGATGTTGTAACTTCCATCAATGAGAAATGCAATGTCAGCTTTACAGTCTGTGAGCATTCAAAATAATTAGACTTACTTAGCACCAAATAAATGTTAGGATAGTGTTTTTCAAAAGTTAAACATGTGAATTCCTACCTTTGTTCCCAGCCTTTTTCTCAAGGGGCTTCTTAGGTCTTTTGCCTTTAATAAAAGATACAGCATGGATCATTTAAGAACAACAAGACATATGGAAGAAGCTTAGTCACTAAGAATTGCATTGCAGTCTGTCCTCAGTGAAAATTGACATGGGACTGCATCATTCTTCAGTCAGTTCAATAGTTACAGTTGCAGTGCTATTTCTTTGCTCCTTGGAGAATATTATTTTTCAAATGAAACAATGTAACTTTCCTTTCTACACCTGCCTAGCTGATTACTGAAATGTATACAGAAAGTCTTATACAGAAACCACTCAACATCCCAAGCCCTACTATTTCTCAGTTAGCTATCTGCTGTACAGGGACAGTTTCTGTGCTTTGGAAGCAAGCCAGGACTTAAACTGTAAAGCAGATGTGCTATTCACAAAGGAGATCCAAGTCCAATATGTATATGCCACTAGCCTTCATAAAAACTGATCTAGCCTTTTACTGGTGGTATTTTCTTTGAGAAATTCACATGCCATCTAAATTTCTGCTTCATAAATCCTGACAGCACTTAGTTGTTAAATATTTCTGTAAAAAGGAATGCATAATACATCTTCTCTGTCATTTAATAGGAATGAATATCCCATGAGCTCATAGACTCTTTCCTTCCTTTATGTCACCTATATCACTTTTCCAAATTCACTCAAGCGTTTCTTCATTTACACGAATGCTACTGAAATCAGAATCAGTTTGATTATAAGCAATTCTTCCTTTTCCTGATGAAATATACACAGAAATGAATTTCACATATGCTTTCTTCTTTATAAACACATCCTATGAAACTTAGCGTGTTAGTCAGGGACTCCAGCCCTATTGCACATCTTAACACAGGAGACCTCCGCTGTTGGAGAGATCTGCTGGTACCTGTAGCAGGCCGTGCTGTTGACACTGATCGTCCCACTGCTTCAAGCACCAGGTTGTTGGTACCTGCTAAAATATTAGAAGAACAGATTAACGTTATTTCAAGGTATTTAGATGAAATTGTGCGATTTAAGAATACTGAATTTCCAACAGTTTCCTAGAAGTAGTCTAGAGACTTACTGTATAATCTAGAAGGACTAATCTAGCTGGAACAGATTTATTTCAAGCAAATAGTAAAAAAATGAAGATGAAATTAGATAGAAGTGAAAATTTTTGCTACATTTCGTATACCAATCACATTATTTGTATATATAAGCACACTGAAAAAGTTTCCTAGACTTCTGTTAATATCCGGAATACAGTTTGCAAAGTAGTAAGTGTGATCCACCTACGAGTCACTGAGAAAGATGAAGCCCATCTAGAGAGCACCTGAGACTGGATCCCATTGGCATTTACAGCTGGGTAGTTTTCCTGTCCTGGGAGAGTCTGTACTCTTACAGCTCCTCCTGCATTGGTGATCACTCCTCTGAGAGAGGAAAAAAAAATTAGTACAATCAGATATTTTAATTGCAAGAAAATACAGCTAAATCATTAGACACTATATACTGAACAGTAGCCTCCTGAAAAAGATACCATTTAGGCAAGTGGTTGTGTTCATGCTAAAAGGGACTGAAAAGATTGTTAAGGCAAGCTATTTTGCAGGACATCACACAGGCTTAGAAAAAAATACCAAGAAGTTCTAAAATTCCAGCTGTTCTCACTGCAGCAGAACACACTAATTCCTAATGAAAGAGCTACACAAAAAATATGTTTACATTCTTTATGGCTCATAAATATTTGTATCCAAAACAAAATGAGGCGTGCTTACTGCAAAATGATTTAAAAAAAAAAAAAAAAAAAAAAACTGGAGGAAAACACTGCTTGCAGCAGTAATTGTTATGGTAGATACTGTATTATGCATCCACACAGACTGCAGTCAGAAATTGTAGACGTTATTGATGGCAACCATCAGATTACTGATCTTCTTCATTTTCACCTATAGTAAAAATTAAGGTATGATATTTGAACTTAATACAATAAATAGAATGCATACTCAATCGGTGTAATATTCCTGATTACTTTCTCTCTACACTTGGAAATTGCATATTGACAGTAAAAGCTATACAGCTGAGTAATTTTCACTGATAGAAACGTAAAGTAGAAACTTCAAAATTTGGAATACTTTTAGATATGATTTCCTGTTTCCTATCTTCGTCAGTTTAAGCATACCACAGCACATCTTAAATACACAATTATGATGGGTTAATTTAAAAAAGCCTTACTAATTAAAAATATCTTACAAAATCACTTTTGGTATTATAAGACTATTATACCCCCTCTGCCACCCTAGAACAGTCAGTACAGAAACGTAGAAGTGAAAAGAAAACATTGAGGAAGTTCTTTAAAGCTGAGTAGAGATTTGAGCCCAAAACCTCCTTAGAGAAGGCCACTGTCATTCTTCTTTCATTGAGCTTCATTTCATGGCTTAATGAATACGTTCTGAGATTGCCTGCCAGATCTGCTGGTTATGCAAGACTAGTTTGAAAATCTTGCTGATCCTTACGTGCTGAGACTTTCAGCACTGTTGAGACTTATAGGATATATGAACATCCAAGAGAACAATAGATTTATGTGCTTAAGAAATTTCAGGGTTAAAAGCCCAAAGAGAACTTCATTTGTTATTGCAGGCAGAGAGGTTGCATTGTTGGGACAGTCAGAGGCTTTGGAACTTTTTTTTCAGATTTCTTTTTATATGCTACTGAGAGAATGGATTCTATTTTTCAGGGCCAAAATTCAATGTGGATCTTGTCTAAATAGAAGGAAAAAGTTAACGATCTGTAGCATTTGGGCAGGTACAGTACTGTGGAATACAAACAACTGTTTCAAGACTACTGAAATGGTGCAGTGTGCGCCTTTGTGTTTACTTTTCTTATCTGTTTGGTTCCCTGCTTGAAGAGAGGTCCCAACCTGATCTGATTTAAAACACTGTGAAATAATGAAGACTGGAGTTTAGAAAATCTTGTATGTATTTGTGGTAATATGAGCTCTGGGTGTCAGTATCAGAGTTTCCACATAAATCTCCCTGTGGCCTACTTAAAATACATTCAGACATGATTTGCATTTCTGTATGGAATTGTGGTTACATATATTTTTATTCTTGTACAGTGAAAGAATTATGATGGCAGTTTCAGATACCTTTTTATCTTTTATATGTACATCATAGAGACAGAGGGGCTTTATTAAAGTTATTCTGAATGCTTGAGTTTAAAGTCAAGTTTAAAAATTGGCAAATGCAAACAGCACTTCACATTTCTCCTTACTGTCTAATAGTGATGAGAGAGATTTGAGCATTAACGAGATGTTCTACTCTAAGGAAAGGCACAGAGCACAAGGTAGCAGTGCAAAAATTGGTGCAAATGCTACAAGAGTTATTCAAGGCCAGGCTGGATATGGCTCTGGGCAGCCTGGTCTAGTGGTTGGCAACCCTGCACATAGCAGGTGGTCCTTTTCAGCCCAGACCATTCTATGAGTCTCTGAAGTGGACTGTTAGAAGTGGTACATACTGAGCAGATTCAGTCTTGCAGACCAGAAGCTAAGTGTTTGCTCAGAATGTCACACAGTATGGTTTTGTGCTAATAATCACATTAATCATAAATGTCTATGGGTCTACAACCTGCCTGCCTTTTTTTTTTTTTTTTTTTTTACACCTCAAGGGAGGGTAGAAAGAGCTGCTGCACAAAGAATGTAATTTTGATCTGAAGTTGCCATTACCATTGCTGTGATAAGCAGCTGGCATTTCCTGGGGGGTCCTTGGATGCAGGCAAAAAAAAAAAAAACAGACAAGACAGCCAAATCATCTTTCCTCCCTTTTACCAGCAGAAACTCAAGCTCTTTCCACATTGTTCATCTTTCCCCATTCTCTTCTCCAAGCTGCGGCCACCTACTGCTGCCGGACTACAATCAATTCAGCAACAGGGAGCTGTTTTGGGTTTCATGCCAGCATTCTCTGGCCCTCTAGGTTCTGCTTACTCTGTCTGCTCTGCACATATATTGCTTTTGGCAAGAAAGAAGGCTCAGCAGCAGAAGCAGCTTATACAGCAAAGTTTTCCAGGGGATCCACTGGCGCTCAGAAGCCAGACAACCCTTCTATCAGTAGCCTTGTAGCAAATGCTACAGCTGCTCAAGGTCCATCAGTGCTTGTAGTTGATTTACAGCCACATTGCTAATATCACAATTTGGTTTTGTTCACTTAAATTGAGGGAACTTGATGTTTATTTAGAGATGCTCCCAACCTGTGGCTAGTTATAAAAAATGTGCATGCCTTTTTAGCATCTGAAGACTGCATTAAGTTAGGTCTCCATTTAGCAGAATTGGCAGTAGAACAGAACTGCACAAACTGAGAACTGAGTCCTTAATTTGACCTTCTGATTATTAATCCAATTAATCACTCAGTTCTTTATGCTTGTATAATGTCAGCTTAGTAGGAGGTTCTCCATTCTTCCCCCTGACAAATAAAACAAGTTCTTCTGCCCAGAAAAAGAACAGTATTAAATAAATATTCTGTTTCCCGAGAATAATTACGTGTAAAATAATGAGAGAGAAAAAAAAAAAAAGATAAAAAGCCAAATGTAACAAACTAAAGCTAGCAGAAAGCTCATTCATATCTAGCATTCAGAATTCTTCACAGCTACATTCTGACAAATTCTTTAAAAGGCACAATGTAGTATTTGTCTTGCAGTAATGGTCACGTCACAGTAGAACTACTCATAGGAATAAGCATTATTTGGTGCATCTAAAAGTTTAGGAATTGAGCGTCAGTTAGAACCCAGCACATGCAAACCAGCATGTGTGTTTGGGAAGAGGAACCAACACATTCTCAGTCATTCTTCAGTTTAAAAAAATTAAATAAGCACTTCTCCCCAAAATTATGCTTCTGGAAACAGAGGATAACTGTGCGATTGTGCTTTCTGCCAAAATCAGTAGCAGTCACGACACATACATAGTCTCAACATTACTTCAGACACATACAGCCATGTTGCACTCACCATATAGCACAGTGTATGGCACACACAGCTTTAAACTAGGTGTGATTGTTTCAGTTATTTGGAAGAAATTTCTGAAATTCTCAAAACACACATATGATTTACAACAATAAAAGTAATTACCTATTAGCAACATATTCTTGAGTTACTTTGACACCAAGATGGAGTTTAGTCACTGCAAGACAGAACTGGAAGGAACAAGTCTTTGGTATGTTTGAACTGGCTTTTGTAGGCTGAAGTTAGCAGAGACCTGAACAACAGTTTCCTCTCCTCCATCCAGCAATTCATTTTGACTAGGACCAGCATTTATCACTTCTCATAGCTTGGGGAAATGCTCATAGATAGAAAATTCTGTGCTGAGTGTGAAAGGTTGACGGGACTAATGGCACCTAGCTTAAAGCAGGTCCTTCAGGAAAACAGCAGTTGTCCTAAACAAAAAGAATAGAGAATATTCTAAAGAATATTTCACCTACATTCCATTTTTTTTTCCTCCGGAGTGCTAAACTACAATTAACTCAGAAGACTTGGACTTAGTTCATTTACACTGGCATGTAAAAACTCAGATTAGAAGATGATACATTTTAATCCCTTTGTTGCTGCTAGAACACTTGGGTGGTTAGAAACAGTTTTTTGTTTTGTTTTTAAAACAGCACGTATTTCACAGAGAGTATAATATATGTTAATGTATGCTGTGGAAAAAAAAAAAATTACATAATCCTTTGCTTCTGGGTTGGAGAAAGTTAACACACAGTTTATAAGATACAAACATCAACGGAGAGCTACATGACATACAGATGTCTGTGCTTTATTGCACATATGAAAAAAAATCTGAACTTTTTCTTTCTTGTACCTCCTTTTGTAAAAATGTTGGTTTTCCTGGTGCTGATCTAAAAAAAATTATTAGAATGACTGATACTAACTCTTGCTTAAATTAATGAGAGATTCCACTAAGACACAGTAAATGAAAAATTGGAGTAAAGCAGATGCTGCAGCTGAGCCACAGCACTTGCTGTTTTCCTGCAGCTAGTGCAGCCAGCTTTGGGTTGCAGGGAAGGGAGGGAAACACCCCCAGATTTTGTGGATGAAGCTTCCTTAGCAGTCAAACCACAGCCACTGGAAGGAGAGGTTTAAGGCTGCTGTCTAGCAAACAGGAAAGGTTTCTCCAGTGAAGAAATGAAATGCTAAAAATAGTCCGTATGGATCACATTCACCCAAATCAAGCCTAGGTCTGTTTGCTTAAACAGATTTTAGCAGTTTCAGGAGAGATGTCATAGAAACTAAAGCAAAAAACTTAATTTGCTTTTATTCTCCTGTTAGTTAGTTATTTTTTTAGATTGTATCCATCTATGTCTGCTAGTAACACACGTTACCTTACAGGGAAAGCCTGACTGCTGCTTTTCAGCATCACTAGTTCTTGAAAACAACAAAGCACTTGCAACCACCCGGTTTTACCCCCGCAGATATGCTCTGTTCTCCTAATGACATTCCAGTTATATTAGGAAGCTTTCTAAAGTCCATAAGAATCTTCATTATGATGGCATCAAAAGATTAGCATTTACAAACGTAACAAGATTGTATGTAAACTCACTTAATGCATGGATTAACAGTCAGTCATCTGACTTACCTGTGTATGGCAGCTCCACAGACACTGGAAAGAGAGGCATAAACTCCATCCCCAAAGACATAGAATTGCCATAGAGGACAGTTTGCTGGGCAAAGGACATCTTCTGTCTCCTTTCTAAGGTCAAGTCCTCTTGTAAAGCATGTGATAGCAGTGGAAGCTAAAGAAACAGAAAAACTTGTGACCTGAAAAATCTTATTTTTTGTTGTTATTGTTCTTAAGCAAGCCTCATTGCCAAATATGAAGCACTGTTTGAATTTGATTAGGTACAGCCTCTCATCCTGTGCTTCTGTATGTCTGTAAAGGTCTCTTGGCAGTTAGAAGTGTGCAGCAGTGACAACTATAATGCAGTTCTTAATTTATGAAAAGGAAGAGACAGAAAAGTACAGAAAAGCTTTTAAAAAAAAGGAAACACTAAACATTAAAATAATCCAGGAAACAGTACAGAGGAAAACAGCAGCAATTCACAACATGTGCCAGTTTACTGCAGAGACAAAGGCCAGGGAAAAAACCTAGAGGGCTGGTGGGCACAGGAGGGAGTGGCACTCTCCAGGATGGGAACCAAAGAACCCAGACATCCTCACGGTGCTCACCAACTATAGGCAACCTGTGAGCTGCCTGGGAAGCTCTGTCCAGTGTCATTCATGGAGTAGGTTGACAGCAGCAATAAATGCTTCTGAAGCCAGTAGAAAAGCAAAAAGGGAGTACCAATCTTTCTGCTCCAGCAAGACTAGCTGCATCTCATTCATATCGGCTCACTACAGTGAATATTAAATCATTACATTTGTGCAGATAATTCTAAAATTCAGCCAGTAAGACTAAAATTATTTATTTATTTTCAGCACATGAATTTTTCATATAATAATTCTGCCTTTTTTTTCCTTGAAAGTTGCTCCCCAGATTATCATCCTTTGGCTTTTACTGTGCTTACATGTTCATACACCTACACGTGCAGACAGGTGTACACCACTGTTAAGTTTTGCCTGTTGAATTGAAGCTTTTTCGTTTGAAAACTTAGAGGTCATGATCTCGTATGCTTAACGACCATTTTGTTGCTAAATGGTGCAGTCTGGTAGCATAGCAAGTTAGGGTTTTAGCTTAGATCAGCACCAATTCATCTCATAAGTTCAACTGATGACTGGATATTCTGAAATTCCCAAGAGCACATCTTGCCACCACTAAGAACTGGTAGGTGCAAAAACGTCTTCTGTAGCCTTTCGATAATATTGAGAGCTCACAGAGCCTAGCTAACAATTAGGTGCACACACCATGAGCGTGTGTTTCATGGATTAGCGTTCCATCTGATGCCTGCTTCCCTGCCCACCCTTTCCACTCTTAACCCAAAGTGTTTACTGACCCCAAAATAAGCTGCTGTTATTTGAAAGAGTGCTTTTGGAGCATGTGCTGTTCCTAATCATCAGATGGAAAAGATCACACTGCTGTGGTGCCTCCTGCTAATCTCACTGACTTTAAAGCTGACAATGAGAACAACTACAGCTGGAAGTGTACACAGTGAAGCATGTCTGTTCACTTCTGCTGCATAAATTTAACAAATGTGTTTACAGAACATATGTGTAGTTTTGCTTTTTAAGTATACCTACTCCTCATTAATACTATATGTAAATTACAGTAAGCTATCTAATCATATCTTCCTAAAAAATCTTAGCAGTATTTGTCAGCACTAAGATGTTACTTAAGTATGCTGAATGTCTATATAGTCCAGGTGAAGGGGGAAAAAAAAGCAGGAAATGCCTTTTCATTTCCTCCTTTCAAAATAATAGAAAATGTCTACATTAGTAAGAGCCACTAAAGTGCTTTAGTCTTATTATCAAGTTTTCTAAAAATAAAGTTTTTTTTTTTTTTTTTTTTTTTTTTTTTTTTTTTTAGGACTTATACAGTCTTGCCTACCCATATCCTCTCCATGTTTAGTCTTACATCTTTGCCTTAAAAACAAAAGTCTGCAAAACAAGCAGAATGACCATGCTTATACCTAGAAGCTCATCATTTCCAATGTTAGAAGCACTAAAGATATTTGGTATTAGGCTGAAAGAAGTCAATTTACTCTGCATTTGAGTCCCCTTATCATTTCATAATGAAATAATATCCATCAAGTGACAACTAGCAAGGCCATCAAACAGCAGCCAGAATCACTGCGATGGGCATTAAAGGTAATCCAGTCTTGCAGTACAACTTGTGCTGTGTACCCTGGAACATTTCTCCAGCCTCCAGAAGTGCTAAACACCACAGGAAGTTTATAATACCTGCCACTTCTAATGTACTTACCCTGACTGAGTTCCTTGGCAGGCTGCACGTATGAATACAATTGGATATGTCTAATTAATACATGCCTTATTACTTGTAGATCTGTGTTTCTCTCACTAGCAGACAGTCACTAAATACAGTCTTGTCAAACTAACATTTTACATTTTTGATAGCTCTGAAGATGGTGGTAATCATGGAGAAATCTGGCTGTTTTTCTAGCCATGAAAACACAGATGTACACTGAAGCCCAATATCTTTTCTATGTACTGGCTGCCTAAAGATCCTCATCTGTACCTTGTAAAAGGCACTCCAGGGGGAAGACACCAAATTGCTGCTGTGTGAAGAGCTGACATACTGCAGCTAGGACCTTTAACAGCTCATAGCTCAGTTGGATCAACAAAGAAAGCTTTGTAACACACACTTTGACTTTAGGTACTTGTTAATTAGACTGCTGTTAATTAAAAAGCAGTTTATTTTGTTTTGCTGCGTAGATACAGCTTCCTAAGCTATAATTTTGGAACTAACATTAGCAATGTCAAGAACACCATCAAGAACACTATCAAGATAGTAGGTAGTAGGTACCAAAGTTAAAATTAATGGTACCAGCTTTGCAGTGATTTTGTTTCTCCCTCTTATTTAATGAGTCCTGTAAAATCACAAGCAGTACTGTATGAACTTAGAGTATTACCTGAATACTGGATCATACAGAATAGTTCTCTACCAGTGTACACGTTAATCATTCTTACCAAGTTTTGTGAGGCATTGCTACTCAAATTTAGAAAGTGGTTGTTTTTGTTAGCATATCCAAGGTAATTTATCTTTGCAGAACCAGTAACAGATAAAACCCAAGTGTCATAATCACTGTGATTTAAGAATGCAAGAGCAGCAGTGCTTGAAATATTTCTCTGGATACTTAGGTGACTCAATACTCTAATCAATTTCATGAATGCTTACAGTCTAAAGCCATGCATTTTTTAGAAGGAGGAAGGATAAGCTTGCAGTTAACAAGAAAGGACTCAGTCCAAGACCTCTACCCAGTCTGGACTTTTGATGAAAAGCAGAGACCTCTGCACACATGAAAATAACACGTTGGTCTGTAAAAAGTGACCATAATCCTGCTCTGTCAAGACACACTTCTTAAGCCTTATGGAAACACACTACATTAAGGTACTCTGGAAAATCTGTACACACACACTCAAAAAAAAAAAAAAAAACCAAAAAAAACGCAACAAAAACTGCATTTCTTCCTGTTTCAAGCAGTGGCAGGGATGAATGTCTTCCTTCACTGTAGACCTAAAAAAACAAACAAACAAACAAAAAAAAAAGTGAAGGCTCACTTCTGTGCTGACACACTGGTAACCATGCTTTCAGTCTTTCCATCAGTTTGATATTTTTGTTGCCTCATCCCAATACTTTGATTTCCTCTGAATAGCACTGTCTTATGCCCACCTATAAGAAGTCCTCACTTCATTTTTGACAGGAATCACTAAGACTCTAGGAAAATGAAATCAGTGCTGAGATTTGAGCTCTAACCTTGAAATTTCCATGTATTGTTTTGGAAAATTAGACTTCATGCAAGAGAAAAAAAATAATCTGTGTAGGTTATTATAAGTGTCAGGGACTCCCAAGACCAAGATATCTTTACAGGCCATAAAATAGCAGGTTTTTTGTTTTTTTGGTTTTTGGTTTTTTTTAAGCATGTTTTATACAGGACTGAATTTCCTCTTCAGAACAGGAAGGTTTGGAGGTTTGTTTGATTTTTTTTTGTCTCAAGGCTTCAGACAGACCTGGACTTATGTCATGCATTGACTTTTCCTACCAACCTTGCCCATAGCTGAAGAAAACCATGTTGGTAGAAATACACCTGCTTACATTTTGGAAAGCGTGTTCATAGGTTAGATACTGATTTGTGTAATGTTCAGTACGTATCTCGGTATGAAGAGCAATGCAATTTAAAAAAGCATCAGGGATGTTTTAGTTATTTCAGTCTGAAGTTTGCACTTCTCTGTTCCAATTAAGTTCACTTACTACCATATGTCAGTGTGCACCCACCCTTACAGTCATCTCCTGTATGACAGCCACAGTCATCGTACTTGGCTGTATTTGTTTGTATTTGTTAAAAGGGGACTAAGAAAAAAAGATCTCCCTGAGTACTATGAGCCTAAGTAAGGCAGATATTCAAGGAAGCTTGATGTTTCACATTACTTTAAATGTAAGAATTTTAACTTTTTTTTTTTCCCATAGAAGTTTATGCATGCTTCTAGCTCAATCACATTTGCCAGCATCCCCTTAACATTACTTTAGTTGGTCCCAGATACCTTCTAATTAGAAGTTTCTTCTCCAACCATGGGAGAAAGCATTATAAAAAAACTTTTCATTTGTATCCCGTTGACATTTCACCTGTGATGCACCTGTAAAACAAGAAAAGGAACCGGGGTTGCTTGCTGTAGGTTTTCTGTCTCTGTTTTATTGTTTTATTCTTCAGTCACAGCAGTCCTGTGACGTACGGCTATTATCTCGATAATAACCGCTTCCTGCTGAAGGGACCCCGAGCGATCGCCCGGAGGCCGAAGGTCACTCACCGGCCGCGGGCAAGGCGATGACCGGGCGGCCGCTGCCGGGTCTCCTGCCCGCCCTCCTTCGGCGACGGGCTGCGCTAGAAGGGCCGACCGCGAGGCTCGCACCCGTCGGACACTTCTTGCGGCGTTTACTGCGGCTCCCTCGGTTTGACAGGCTTCGGGCACCCGTTCTCCAGAGGCTGGGATGCATCCCCTCAGGTTACGTAGCAGCTCCCGCACCGCTAGGCGCGCTCAGTTCGCTCTTTGCTTTCCAGGTCGCTTTGACGGCGGTGCGGGCGCACAGAAGTCGTATCGATTTCACAGGCAGAAACGCGCTGGTGACCCTCGCGCGGTCGGTGCTCGGGCACCCCAATGCACGCACGCACGCACACACACGGCACTCCCCCGGGCAGACACGTTTGTTACCGCTACATTCAGACCAGGAGGGAAAAAAGCGGAAACACTTCCAGACACCTCCCGTGCCCCTCTGCATTCGCATCCCCCTCCTCCAGCCTTCGCGCCTCTCATACCCCAAAGGACACGCCGGCTCTCAAAGCCAGCCCCGCAGACGCGTCCTGCCGCCGTGCGGGGCAGAGGACCGCAGACTCACCTGAGCTGTCACTCCCACGCGCGGGGCCGCAGAGCAAGAAGACGCCTACGGAGAGATAGAGAGCGGGTCGGGCCGGGTCGCACCGGATCGGGTCGCCCCGTCAGGCGCGGTACGCACCGAGGAGAAGGGAGGCGAGCTGCATGGCGGTAGGGCACGCTCCCGGGCGCGAAGAGAGGCGCAGCGCAACCCAGCCGACGTCCTCACCGAGCGGCACCTCTGCAGCGCTATGTCGCAGCCGCCGCCGCGCACGCCTTAAACCTCTCCCGGGGCGCATGGGCACTGGGCAGGCGAGGGCGGCCGGGGTGGGAGCGAGGGAGGGAGCAGGCACCGGCGGGGCGGCCCCAGCGCTGGGCGCAGCCCGGCCCGGTCCGGCAGGTGCTGCCGTTCCGCCCCCGCCGCGCGTCCCGTTCCGCCTCCGTCTGCTCAGACTGGCGGCCTCCTCGGAGCCGCCGGGAAGCCGCTCCGGTGCTGTTGCCGGCCGCGAAGTCCCGGCGGGGGCGATTCGCCCCCTGCCCGGCTCCCTGCTTCGCGCACCGCCGGCCTGCTTTCGCCGTTTGCCCCTCAAAACCGGCCCTCGTAATTCTCCGTGTCCCTGTCACATGCGTGTTTTGAACGCCTTATTTCAGATGGATTCATTCTGACGTTTCACGAAGTGACTCGGCTGTCGGTTACAGCGTCGGGAATTAGCGGGGAACAGAAGCCCCGGCGGGCAGCCAGACTGAGCCGGGCTCGGCCGGTGTCGAGGAGCGGCCCGGCACAGCGCGGTGCCCCCTCGGCGCTGGGCGCTGCGGGCCGGAGCTGCGGACCCTTTCGTCTCCCGAGCGGGTGGAGCGCCTGACCGCCGGTACCGAACCGGGTGTGTTCGGTCTGCAGTGACAGCGTACAGCTCACCTTGGGTTTAAACAAAAAGTTGCTTAAATTAAAAAGCAAACGGGCAAAAAAGACATTTCAGAGCCCGCTTAGTCATAGGATTCGTGCGTACCTGCTTATGTGCTGTAAAGTGTTAACTGGCGTGAGCGTGACACGGGCAGATTGCTCTGAGCGCATCGGAAGGAGTGGAAGGAGCGCGTTTATTTCAACGAATGCCTGCAATCGCGTTCCTTGCTGTTGCCGGCATTGCCGTTTAATTCTGCTGGGACGGCTACTCCTAGGTACAAGCCTTCAGATGGAAGTAAGCTTGCAGACTTCCCAGCAATGGGCGCGCGGCGGGGCGGGGAGGCTGCAGCCTTCCTCGGGCCGGGCCGCGCCGCGCGGCTCTGCAGCAGCTGCTCGCGTGGGAGCGCGCGCGTCGGGAGGGCTTCTTCCTGTGCTTCCAAAGCAATGGCGAGATGTCCGCCATCCGCTCAGGGATGTCCTGCGCGTGCCGAAATAGGATGCGTGACCGGGTACGTTAGTGGTAAACATTTTTCGGAGTTTATTTCAAAAGAAGTGAGAACACGATCCCCCTCCCGCCGCCCCCAGCTCCGTGTCCCAGGAGCGCGGTCGTTGCTGCCCTCTTGCCGTGCCCCCCTCCTGCGTGCTATCTCCGAGCTGCGTTATCCGAGCAGCAGGGCCGGCTGTACAGAGCTTCTGTCGGCCTTTCCCTGCTTCTCTGGTGAACTAGAGAGCTGCCAAGAGCCGCGAACACTGCCTCGGGACAGGAGCCCCGCAGTACTCACTGAGGGCACAGCAGTGATCGGTGCTTTCCAAAGAGGGGGGTTGCTTAATTATTACTATTACTTAGGAGATATTCTGGGAAGCCAACCGGCACCTCACAGAAGATGCCTGTCGTATGGCTGGTGGCCCCTTGTCCTCAGAGAGTGGCGGTCACCCAATGACCCCCTGGTTCCCTTCCCAATGCCACCTGTTCCTCAGCCCCCTCCGTCCTGTCAGCACTGTGCCGCGATCTTCTCCCCAGGCTTAGCAAAGCTGAGGGAATGTGGCTTTGGGGCAGGTGGCTGCATCATGTTTTACTTGGTGCGGGGGAAAGGCAGGAGGAATTGGGAGAGGCTTCCTTTTAACCTGTAGAATATGGGAGATGCCTGTGCTGAGTGATACAGGCTGTCGTGCAGCCCCCAGAGCCCCTCTGTCTTTGCTGTAAAGAGGTTTCAAGCTGTGCTGCCTCGGGAGGGTCCCTGGGACACTGTCAGGAGTGCTGACAGGGGAAAAGCAAAGCGCTGCCATGTTGGCACAGTGCAGGTGTGTGCCCAGCTGGAGGTGGCTGCCATTAGCAGCAGCATGGACTGCCATTAGCAGAGCAACCGTTCTGGGGCACCTCAGTGCCTCCTGGGGCCCTTTCTCCTGACCTGCTTGGCCTTGATTTGTTCATACACGCCATTGCCTTAATTAGGCTGCTTTATATTACTTTCATGCTTGTATTTTTTTTCCCCTGAACTAATGGCTTGTCAGTAAATCTGAATAGAAGCATGTCCAATGGAAAACTGCATGAAAATGAAAATGAAAATGTTGCAACAAGATGAAGAAAATAACTGAGTGGTGGGACCGGTGCATAGAGAGGCATCTCTGTCACAGCAGAAGTTTGATACTAGAGGCAGGGCTGAGCACTGGCGCTGTCAGCTTTCCTGTCAGGCTGCTGAAGTGCTCCTTGGCAGCCTCCTGGTCCAGATCGCCCTTCCAGACACAGCTGAGGAGTTGGTCTATTCTAGAAACTCTGCATCCTCTTTTTGGAGTCAGAAAGTCTTTATTCACATCCATGGACACGTGCCAGAGCACAGCAGGAGGCCAAGGCCCACAGGGCTGCAGCAGGGTGCAGAGATGGGCACCCTGCCTGGAGTTGCACAGTCCTAGTCCTGCCAGGAGGGCTTGCTGCAAAAGCCTGCAATCACATCTTGAAGCAGCACAGAGCTGTTCTCCGGTGCTCTCGTCTGGCATGCAGGTCTCTCCTTGAAGGGCTCAAGCAGGGCAGTTAGCCAACAGTTCCTGGTAGGGAGCAGGCCCTCATCTACTCACAGTTTATACACTTTAGATTGGCATTTAATTTCATGCAGTAATTGAAGTGCCCTGTGAGAAGCACTTTTTGGAGCTTCTTTCACCAGGGACAGAGGAACAGTCAGCCACCTCTTGCTGTGATCAGACTGGAACTCCCCTCTGCCCAGCCCCTGCTCTGTGCTTTTCTATCTTTTGAAGAGACCCAACTTTATAAGATAAAGTTAAAATACAGGTTTTTCCTGTGGATTTTAGTACTGTCATCACTTTGGGACAAAATAAGAGTAATAGAAAACATTAAATGAATTTCATATATAAATTTTAAAAACAGATAAAACTGCAGGACTTGTTTTGGAAGTAGTGAGTGACTCTGGACTCATTCTTATGTGCGTTGCTTGAGATATCTTGAAGACCTTTGTTATCAAGAAGTGTATTTGATTAGCATTTTGCAGACATTTTTTTTGTGTGTGCAAACACTGAGGACTCTTAAGCGTTGGGCCTCACAACCATCTGCTGCACTTTCGCTCTTCTGTTTCACTTTGGGCAGCAATGATGTTGTGAATAGGAGCGCACTGCCAGTCAGATCTTTTCCTTGCGCTGTGAGCTGAGGATGCTGATCTTTGGGATCAGACCCAAGGCATACCTCCACGCATTTCAAATCCTGCTTCGACAGATAGTGCTTCTAGTCTGGGGGTTTGTCTGTCTGTTCAATCAGGAAGCCAGAGGTATTGCTTCCCACTTTGGAAATTTCTTCTTAGAGAAATACACAGCTTTGGGTAAGTGAGATGCATTTTTCTGCTTCACATAAACGTTATGTTAATCCTGAATGGGAAGTGCCCAGTCAGAGCCTGCCTGTAGTCATATGGCTGTTGTTGAACGTGTGGCTTCTGTTATTTCTGGCTCTGCAATTGGTGAACATGCTGTTCCTTCCACTTCCTTTGGTAATGGTCATCTGCACATTTTGAGGGTAATCCAGGGCACTGCACACACCCCCTCCGGAGCCATTCTTAAAAAATGCATTCTTTGTCTTTCCTTCATGAACACTTATGTAGGCACACATTGTTTGTGATGATCCTTAAATAGAAAAGATATTTACTGATCAAGAAAAATGAAGGTACAGTGAATTCAGTTTGTTCACTTTAACCCCTTATATTTGAGGCAGAATGGAGAAAATGGATTAGAATTTGAATTGTTACCTTTTTAATTGTTGCCTTTTCTCTTAATTGTTGTGATAAATGAAAAAAAAAAAAAAAAAAGAAAGAAAGAAATAAGGAATATTTGTAAATAGCATAGCATGCAAAGATCCTCTGTAGCATACATTTATTGCCATACCAGAAAGGTACACATTACCAAACCTGAGCAATGCCTGGCTATATTGACAGGCAGCAGTGTATCATTAATGGATTGCCCAGAGTCAGTCATAAAAAATTGCTTGTAAGTCTTTTATATTTCATTTGGGATTTTGAATATAGCAAACTAATGAAAGTCTAATCTAGCTATATTTTATTCATTGAGAGAAAAAAACAAAAAAAGCCCCACGTTATTACTGGGATGATACTTCATCATCCTTAAAGTTGGCTGAAGAGAGACACTTACCAATTTCTATAGATGTGTTTTAATACATTTTAACAGTTGTTAAAACACTTATTAGAACCTTTTGTTTAGAATATTTAATCAGACTTCTAGTAACAATTAAGTAAACAAGTAGAAGTGTCTGCTGTTTTTTAGGGTTGAATTGCAACTTGTCTCCAGCAAAAGCTGTATTTTTCTCCCACATGGCTTTTCTAGTGCTTCAGGTTTTTCTTTTTTCTCTTCAATAGTTATGTGAATACATTTTCTTGCTGTGGGAAATCCCCGCCACAGCACTGATGTGCCATATCTCACATGTGGAGACAAACACAGTCACTTCCATAACTGTATCTCATTCTCAGGTTTGTCACTCACTCAGCTTGGGCAGGTGACTGCAGGGCAGCCACAAATGAGAGGGCAAAGCACAAAGAAACCACCTGACAAGAATGTGTAGAGAATGGTTTCCTTGAAATGTAGTGTCTTAAAGCTGTAAATAGATACAGACTGATTGTGTTGCTGAAATACGTGACTGCCTTTGGCAGCAAAACATTGTTTTTCAGGGGAATGTTTGATAGAAAAGCTATATTGCAGGCTTTCCAGGTTGTACGCTCTGTGATCAGTGTTGTGCTGGGCTAACAGATGTTGGTTTGCTGTCTGTGAGGCTGCTCTTTGTTGAGAAGGGCACGTGAGGACCGAGTGGCGCAGTGTATGCATTGCTGCAGGTCGGAGTCTGCGACTTCTTTTGGAAAGAACAAAACTTTGCAAGGAGAAGGAAAACGATAGACTGGCTTCTAC